TTTTCCTCCTCCTCCGCCTCCTCCTCCTCCTCCTCCTCCTCGGGTCGCCCACGGCCCGGGCCAACGGCGACGCAGGTAACGGCGATGCAGGTGTTTTTAGTGTTAGGTCGGGCGTGTCCTCCTACAGGGGGGTTTGGGACGCGCTAAATCAAAATAGTCGAACAGATTCCCAAATGGTACAATATACGCGTCCCCAGATTATTTGTTTGGGCTATGTTTGAATTTTCCTCTTGTGGAGGGACAGGCCCCTCTTAACGTTAGTGTGGAAACGCGTTGCTCGCGCTTTTTGTTCCCACAATTCGCTCCGTCGTGCTCGCTCGATCCGTTCGCAGACTTTGCGTGCAGGAAAAGTGTGCTTCGTGATGTCTTATGTACTATGTGGTCCCCAACATCACCGTTAAGCAACATCGCCGTTCACCCGGCCTTGGATAGATTTACCCCGACATTGACTTGCTCGTCGAATCTACGAAAAGTATCAGAATGCCCCACTGATCGATGAACCAGATCTGTAAACTGATCGCACACTTGACGAAGAAGTCAATTTCAGGCTAGATCGCTTCTATAGTCGAGCCCCGACTCAAAAGTCAAAGCGCGGCGCCCGGGGCTGTCAGAAGCTGCTCGGCACGAGGGGCCAGCTTCCAGCAGCGGGTCGAGGCCTCGGTTGGTCCACGTTGTGGGGGCCCCCAAACGGGGGGGTGACCACACCGTGTGGTGAGTCGGTGAGGATTCGGGGTCACCGCGCGGTTTTGGGACTCGGGTCGTTCTCCGAGGACGTCTCGGGCGACTGGGGCATCCGAGGTCCCAAAACCATGCGTTGACGGACCGTGCGGTGATGTCTTGGGGGATTTCGAGGTCACCGCACGGTCTGTCACCGCACCGTTTCGGGACTCCAAATGTGAGGAAAACATGCCATCGGGTGTCGGCGGGGGGGCTGCTCTACGCGGAACTCTTCCACGTCTGAGCGCTTTCCCCGCGTCTTTTTCCTCCCTCCTGCACGCCAGACAATTTCGCCTTTGGGTTGCCCCGAATAGCCACACGCTGGGGCGGACTGCCTCTGCCGCGCCGCCGACGGGAAAAAAGTTTGGGAAGGGGGGGTATGGCATTCGTTGATGCAGTCGTTGTCGCCATCGTCGTCGTCATCGTCGTTTCGGATCGGGTGTTTCGTCCTCCTTCGCCACGGCCGGCGCGACTCGGAGAGCCTGCCAAGGTTGACCCCAGGAGGGGTCATGATGATGCGTATTCGGCGGAATTGGGTCCGGGGCAGGGCGGGAGAGGGCGGCATTCAAAGCAAGAAAGAGGGTGGGAAATCTCTTACAAAGTATCGGCCCCCTCTTGGGGGGTTCCTCTTGGACTGCATGATGGTCCTTGTGGGCGGGGGGCCCTTCTTAGAAGGCCACCGCCCTCGCCCTGCCCCTCTCTGCACGCCGCCAAGACGTGGCACACTGCGGTGGTGTTACCACGTGAGGAACGACGAGGAGACAGAGGACTGGCCCCAGCGGCTCAGCGCCCTGGCCAATGCGGGCGACGACCAAGACAGGCTCATGGGCTCGCTCATGGCGCCCCCAACGGAGGCGAAGCTGCTGGAGGTCCAGCAGCCGGTGTTCACCATCGTCTACGTGTTCGACCCCACCGACGCGCCGGCAGTGGACTTCGCCCTGGAGCTCGTGGGCTCCTCGCGCCCAGCCCGAGTGGCTCTGGTGGCGGCTTCGGCGGGCGACCTGGAGGCGGGGGCTCCGCTGGCGCAGGCCGTTGCTCACGCACTGGCCTGGATACTGAAAGACGGCGCGAAAGCTTCCGCTTCGGCGGCGCGCGGCTTCCTGCAGGCGCTGCGCCCGAAGCTGGGGGCTGGGTTCAGCAGGGAGGATGTCGAGGCGGCTCTGACGAAGCACATGCCGAAGAAGCGGAAGGCTGATGGCTCCCTGGCGAAGGCCGAGGCGGCCGCGGCCGCGGGCGGGTTCGGAGAGTACACGCGCCTGAAGGGCCTCCCAGTGCCCAGCGTCGCCGTTAACGGCCGCGTGGCCCACGCCGACTCGCTGGACGACCTGCGCAGCCAGTTCAAGTCGCTTCTCTCCTCCGAAGCGAACCTGCTCCGGTCCGCGGTTCAGAGCAAGAGGCTAAAGGACGCCAAGAAGATCAAGGACGGCGAGAAGTCCCTGGAGCAGTTCTTTCTGGATGGCGCAGGCGGGGCTGTGACTTCAACATACGACCAAGTTCTGACGCCTGGCCTCCGCCCGTCTGCAGACGCCCCTGCCAACGACCCCACGCTGGAGCCGCCGCATGGGCGCCTCCACGGCATGGCGGCAGAGCAAGGGCCGGCGGGCGTGGTGTCCCCAATCCATGGCCGGCATGCTACCTTTCTGCAGCAAGCAGAGCTCGAGAAGCTGCCTGTCTTCCGGGCCTCCGACGCGGTTGTCGACACGAGCTTCGTCGTCTTCTTGCTGCGCGCAGCAGACGTGGCCTTGCTGGCCGCGTTCGCGGAACACCTCGCGGCGCCGGCCGGTGTGCGCTGCGAGCTGCGGGTGGTGGTGTCCCCCCGCCTGGGCAGCGAAGGTGCGCCGTGCGCGCCCTTGGGTCTCCGCAGCTGCCTCGCGGGGGCGGCCGGCGCGCTGGAGGGCCTGCGCCGGTGCTCGTGCTCCGCGGAGGCCAGCGGCAGCGGTGCATCCGACTTCGAGGCCGAGGCAGCGCTCTGGCGCGAGCTGCCACGCGAGGCGCGCGCCGCGGCCGCTGGCAGCAGCCCCAGCGGCGCGGTCGTGGTCTGCAACGGGCTCGTGGTGCCGAGCACCCCGCCGCACCATGCCGCCCCAGGGCTCCTCGCGGCTCACTGGTGTCCGCAGGCGTCACCCGCGCTGCCCGTGCACGCAGCTGCGCTGGCGGCCGCGGCCGCGCCGCCACGGTCGCGCTCTGGGATGCTGACGCGGTGTGCTGCGGAGGTGCCCCGCGCTCTTCGCTTGCACATGCCTCCCCGTGAGGCCGATCTGCCCGTATTGGCCAGCGTGGCGGCCGTGGTGGACCCTCTTGGCGAGACCACGACGGCGTTCGTGCACCTGGTGCATCTGCTTCACGCGAGCTTGAACGTAGAGGTTTGCATCGCCATGAACCCGCGGGAGACGTACGACGACTACCCGTTGAAGAAGTGGCAGCGGCACGTGTTCTCCTCTGGCTCTGCGAAGTTTCCAGGGCCGGATCGGGATGAGCTGTCCGCGGTATTCTCCCGCCTGCAGACTCACCACACCCTCACTCTGGCCATGGTATGCCCCGCGTCGTGGCTGGTCACGGCGCACAAGTCGGAGCACGACCTTGACAACATACGCGCAGGCGATGCGACCAGGCTCGGTGGGCCAGGCTCGCAACCGACGGTCGCCGCGGAGTTCCTGCTCTCGAGGCTCTACGTGGAGGGCTCGGCGCACGTCCGCGACTCCGGCAAGCCGGCCACCGGGCTGCAGCTGGAGCTGCAGCCGACCCTGGCGGGGCCCGCGGGCGGGCATGGCGGGGCGGCAGGTGGCTGCGGGGGAGCCGACACGCGGGTCATGCAGAATCACGGGTTCTGGTCGATGCCAATCTGTCCCGGTGCTTTTGTGCCGTCATTGATGCCTGGCGCCAGCAACGACACCTTCGTGCTCGGCTCTGTGATCCCCATCGAGGCGGGACCTCCTTTCTAAATCAGAGGAATGGTGTGGCCAGCGCTCGGTCCGGCAGCGCTTCTCCAGGTAGCTGCTTTGATTGATTGTGACCTTGCGACAGTTGTTACAGCGACGTTTGGTCGGGAGGTCACCTGGAACCAGCGCCAACCTGGCTTATGTTCGGTTCTCTGCCCCCCCCTCCACCCTCGCCCCCATCAGTTCCCCTTTTTCCTCCCCGTCACCCCAAGAGGGCGCCGCATGGCACCAGTGCCCGCGCATGCACAGCGCGCCGGCGGCCGCGACGAAGCGGTTAGGGGGAGCGATGGGGCAGGGCAGGAGCAGCGAAGAGCAGCAACACGCCAGCATCGACCCTCTTGCACAAACGGGTCGAGAGCCGAACAAGGGGGATAGGACGCATCTTCCTCAAGCCGCGCGCCCCCATCGGTCCTGTTCTCCTCTTCATCCTCCTCAGCTCCTCTTCACACCATCTGGGTCCTCATGAGCAGGTCCCCTAACGAGGACTGCGAAAACAATACCATGGAGGAACCTAGATGCTCTACAGTCTAGTTTTCCTGCTTGCTCGGAGTCGTTCCCCATCCGCATTTGTCCTTTTGTCCTCTGACCACCCCAGCTGGCCACGTCGCCATGCGCAGCCTGGGCGCAGGATCGAACCACCGACACGGGGTCAATGATGGGCCCAGCCCGGCTCGGTGCAGGTGGACGGATAGTCGGAGTCCCCCCCCCGTCTTCCGAGCATTTTCTTCCTGGGTGGAGGGCAGAGGGTGAAATCTGAAATGCCGTTTCGATTGACCCTCGGGGTTTGAATCTGCAAAAGTTGAATCAGAAGACGGATGGGTTTTCGAGGTGCAAAATCCCCTATGGATTTCACCCTGGGCCCTCCACCCAAGAAAATGCTCAGGTCTTGCATGTCCTGGTCTCTCCTCGGGCAGTCTTTGGGGGCGCAGTGCCAGCAGCGTCCGTCGGGCGGCGGCGGCCGCACGAGGAGGGGCGCACCCGTCACCCAGGAGCAGCAGACTTATGCCTCATGCCAGAGCACTCTTCCTCCTCCTCCTCCTCCTCCTCCTCCTCCTCCTCATCCCCCTCCTCGACTCCGTCGTCTTCCTTCTCCTCCTCCTCCTCCTCCTCCTCCTCCTCCTCCTCCTCATCGACTCTTCCTTGACTCCATCCTCCTCCTCCCTCCTCCTCCTCCTGCAGGAGCAGGAGCGGGGCGGGGTGCGGAGGGGGGAACCGGACGAGGCCAGGACGAGGACACATCCGCTCCAGAACGTTCTGGAAAGCTCCGAGGAGGCCGCCGCGCCCGAGGCGTCCTCCAGAGCCGCCGGACGTCGGAGATTGTTTATTTATCTCGCAGGCTGGGACACATACAATACCAGTGGCGGGCTGTTCATGAATCCAAATTTTTGAGGGTCGGGGACGACGTCGGGGTGGTGTGGTGTATACTTGTTGTTTCCGCTACCCGGGGGAGCACCGAAACATGTGTACACAATGATCCCGTATACACCAGGATCCGATGTCCTGTGCAAGTGTCAGCGCAGGGCCGGAAGCAAAAACGGTGTATAGATCGGCACGAACGAAACGGGTACGGAAATAATGGGTACAATGCCCAACCTGATGTTATCCTTGTGCTGGCTTCGTCTTAGGGGGGAGCCAGACCTCACGCTTGAGCCCCCGGCTCCTCCACTTCCCCGCCGAGCACTGGGGCGGAGCGCCCGCGACGCCACGTTCCCATCCTCTTCGGTCTCGCCCTCGTCCTCCTCCATTCCTTCTCCTTATAGATAACTCCTCCTTGTCGCACCCCGAGGCCAGTTTTTAGGGCGGGCCGGGCGTTTCGCTTGAGACTTCCTCACCGTTTATGATTCTGAAGCTTAAAAAGTGACAACAGTTTCACAGATGGAGGGCGGGTGGTTTTCAAAGTGCGCCCCGCATATTTGTTTCAAGAATTTGCCAGAGCTTCACGGATTGAGGGCGGATGGTCTTCAAATTGTGATTCTGGCTTTAGCGCCGCGCGCATTCATTTTCAACAATTGTAAGAGCTTCACGGATTGAGGGCGGCTGCTTTTCAAAATGTGGCTCTCGCTTTCGCGCCGCGCACATTCGTTTTAAAACTGTAAAAGGAGCTTCACTGATTGAGGGCAGGTCGTTTTCAAAATGTGGTTCTCGCGTTAGCGCCGCGCACATTCGTTTTTAACATTTGCAAGGGTTTGAGGGCGGGTGGTTTTCAAAATGTGGCTCTCGCTTCAGCGCCGCGCCGCGCACATTCGCTTTTTTAAAACTGAAAGGGCTTCACGGATTGAGAGCGGTTCCTTTTCAACATGTGGTTCTCGCCTTAGCGCCGCACATGTCCGTTTTTTCGATTCAAGAGTTTCACGGGTTCCCATGAGCAGCGTACCAGAAATTGTGTTTTGGACGGATTCCGGATTATGCGGGCGCAACAGTTTTGTTGATTCGCTGTGTTGAAATCCCAAACATGTCGTTCTGGCACGATTCTGGATCGTCCAGACGTAGCAGTCAGGTTGATACGTTGCGTTGAAATCCCGAGAACATTGTTTCGGGATGCTTCAGGATCTTCAAATTGTTGTCTTCCGACGATGCAGTTCCTTCAATGGAAATGAACCGTTGTAGGGGCCTGTGAAGGGGGAGCTTGGGGGGAGGGTTAATTCCAACATCGTTGATGACTCTTGGGTTTCCACTGGTCCTCCTCCTCCTCCTTCTCCTCCTCCTCCTCGTCCGAGGAGGAGCGGTGGACCTCCCCCCTCCTCTTCCTCCTTTTCCTCCTCCTTCTCCTCCTCTTTCTCCTCCTCAAAGGAGCGGTGGACCTCCTCCTCCTCCTCCCCCTTCTCCTCCTCCGAGGAGCGGTGGACCTCCCCCCTCCTCCTCCTCCTCCTCCTCCTCCTCCTCCTCCTCCTCCTCCTCCTCCTCCTCCTCCTTTCCTCCACCCTCCCAGCAGCGGAGGTTTCCTCCGATCCTGCTGATCCCCCCGCCTAGTCCTCCTTGTGATCCTCCTCCTCCTCCTCCTTCTCCTCCTCCTCATTCTCTTTCTCCTTCTGCTCTGACTCCAGTTCCACCTCCTCCTCCTCCTCCTCCTCCTCCTCCTCCTCCTCCTCCTCCTCCTCAACCTCCTCATCCTTGTGCTCATCCGCTTCTTCCTCATCCTTGTCCTCATCCCACTTCTTCTCGTCCTCGCCTGTCCTCATCCTGCTCCCTACTACTTGTCTGCTCGTCGATCGATCCAGAGGACTGGTTGCATTACAAGCAGAGGCTTTCGTCCTCGAGAAAGATTGAACGACGCCGAGAAATACGCAGGTGCTCAACTTCAGCAGTGGTACATATCTGCCGTAGGGCTGTCTTCTCATCCGGAGTCGCTGTTGAGGCAGCCTTTGGAGGCCGAACAATCATAAAACAAACTCAGTGGCGCGACTTCGCTCAAGCCTCGAGACCGCCAGAGGTCCCCGATGCTGTATTTCTTTGCTCACTCAGGGGAGCGGCCTCTTATTCCCTGGTAGCCTTTGACGGACCCACGGGCCGAACACGCAGAAGATTGAAACGTCCCCCGACATTCTCGCGTCGGGAAAGACGGCAGCTTCTTGGCCGTTTTCGGCCTCGTCGCAAAACGTCGCGAGGTGAAACACCGGCCCCATATCGGGAGAGGGTCGGGACTTCGGGGGTCCGTGTGGAAAAAACTCTGGACATCGCAGGCCTGGGTCCTCGACTCGGCCCAGGCGTGGGGGCTCCGGGCGCGTGCTGCCGCCGCGAGCCCGACGCAGCGACGCCGCGGGCTCCGCCCCGCGCCGCGGGTCCCGGCCGGCCCTCGGGCGACGGGGCGGCGAGCCCGCAGGTCAGCTCCTTCGCGGTGCCGCGCCTGCCGCTCCAGGTCGCGGTGCGACCCGGCCGCCAGGACCAGCGGGCCCGGAGGGGGCCGCCAGCGCGTCGTCGTCGTCGTCGAGGATTGTCGCCTGACGACGAGCGACGTCGTCGTCTTCGGCTGACGACGAACGACGTCGTCGTCGTCGTCGTCGTCGTCGTCGTCGAGGACCGACGGGCGAGGGCGGAACCCGACTGTGCGTCCATGTTCAGCTCGCCCGGAGGCTGCCAGAAGTGTTCGTTGGGCAAGGTCGGTTTCGCTACTGTCAAGGCGCTGAAATAGTTCAGGACCTGTTCGGGCCCAGGAGGGGCTTTGGTTTTTGGGCTGTTCCTTAGATTATTCGAAGCCGAGGCTCGCCTTGGCCAGACATGCCCCTTCGTTGTATCCATGCTCCGGTCCTTTACAGTAGCACGACGACTGCAGACCTGAGGCCCTCCCATAGGACCGTCAAAAAACGATTCAGGATGAGAAACTAGTCCAGGGGAAATGGTCCGGACCTCTGGGCGTCGACGATGCGAAAAATCACGACGTCGGGGGTCAGTGTGTCGGGCCGAGCGATAAGGGGGGGGATAGGGAAAGGGGGAGGGGTGCGAAATCTGCTGCGTGCAGCTGGTTTCGGTCCCGCCGCTGGGCCCATTCCTCGATATGTGGGCGCCTCCCGGCACCAGGAGGCGCGAGGACTACCAGCTACGTGAGCGGATTCTCTACCCTGACCTTTGCTATCCTACCCTTTCGTCCCCCCCGAACCCTGCCTGGCCGCGGGGCGCGCGCTCTCCCCCCGGCGCAGGGTTGCCTCTCTGGTCCCGGGAGCTGGCGGGCCCCTTGTAGAATTGCAAGCGCCTCGAGCGTGGATTGGAGTTCTGGAGATGCGCTCCCACCAAGGGCTGGAGATGGAGGCCGCCGCTGATGTGGCCTGGTCGACGACGCGAGGTCGCGCCCGCTCCTTTTCTCGTTGAGGTCGTTTCCCTACCTCTGGAAGGCTCTCACCTTCACCGTCTTTGTTTCCTTACCGTCGACTCACTGCCATCGTCATCCTCATCCTCACCGTAATCATCATCATGCCTTTATTCCCATTCCCGCATCCTCCTCATTCCGCAGCCTTTCACCATCACCCTCATCATCCCACTCTTCGAGGAAGGCTCGACCTCTTTCCTGCTCCTGCTGCTGCTGCTGCTGCTGTTCCTCCTCCTGCTGCTCCTCCTCCTCCTCCTCCTCCTCCTCCTTCTCCTGCTCCAGCTCCTCCTTCTCCTCCTCCTCCTCCTCCTCCTCCTCCTCCTCCTCCTCCTCCTCCTCCTCCCCCTCCTCCATGGCTGCGGTGCCGTTCGTAGTCGTCGTCGGTCCTCCGTCGCCGCCGCCGGCCCACGTCCTTTCGATCTTACGCCCCCGCAGGGAGCGCGCGCGCGAGGCCAACCGAGAAGCTCTCTCGCGGGCAGGTCGCCCACACAGGGCGCGAAGGCCGACTTGCCCTGCTCCTGCGGGGGGGGCGTGGGGCGGCGCAGAGGCGCGAGGACGAGCGCGCCGCGTGCGTCGCCGCGGCGATGGCGGTTCCTCGGCAGGGCTCGCTGACGTCGTGGCCACCGCGGTTCAAGCAGGGTGCCGCGCCGGCCCCCGCGCCCCTCGGGGCCCGGGGGTGGGTGGGGGGGGAACGAACAACACGCACCCATACCGTCGAACCGCTGCCCTAAGGAGGCCTACACCAGGAACGGGGCCTTTTTTTTTCTCCATGAGTTCAACCTCGATGTCCCGTAGGAGGCCTGAGGAACACCCGCGACGAGCCGGAGAGCAAGTCAGGAACTCTGAGCCCCTCCCCAACGAAAACCGTTCCTTCTACAGCGGCCCGGCTGTACCCATCAGTTCGGATGCAATTCCTGGGAGGTCAAATCCTGATTTAGCCCTGGTCCCGCTTAATCCGGTTTCATCCGCCTTAATCCCGCTCGATGCGGCTTAGTCCGCTTAATCCTGTTTAATCTGGCTTAACCCCGCTTAATCCGAGGCCCACTCCGGCGTAACAGCCTCCCAACGGGGCTTAATCCTTCGTAATCCTTCCGACGAAGACCTCCCAGTAGTTGCCTCCGAACATCAGGGGGACGGAGGCGGCTCTGGGTGCGCGCTGTCGGCGGGGGTGCCCCGCTCGAACGGGACCCCCCTCCCCTGTGGTCCGACCACCCGCACGCGTGCCCACAGCCAGCCCTCCTCCTCCTCCCCCTCCTCCTCCTCCTCCTCCTCCTCCTCCTCCTCCTCTCCTCCTCCTCCTCCTCCTCCTCCTCCTCCTCCTCCTCCTCTCCTCCTCCTCCTCCTCCCCTCCTCCTCCTCCTCTCCTCCCTCCTCCCTCCTCCCTCCTCCTCCTACTCTTCCCCCTCCCGCCCTCCTGCGGGAATGCGTGTGTCCCAGATCCCCGACGTCGTGATGTTTTCACAGCGTCGACCCCCAGAGGTCCGCGAACCCCTTCCCCCGGGACCGCTCCTCGCCCTTAAGGTCGTTCTTCGGACGGCCCCGCGAGGCCCGGCGAGGGCCCCGGGCGGCGGAAAATGGGGGGAGAAACTTCCCGCCACAACCGCTCCACGACACGAGGAGGTCTGGGTTGTTCGTTCTTCAGGGGGGGAGGGCGCGCGCGCGCGCGACCGCGTGAGGTCGGCCATGCCGCGCCATGGCGGGCTGACCTCCCGCGCCGGGCGGCGGCTGCCTCCGCGCCCTCGGGCCGCCGGAGGCTGCGGGCGTGGTGGACCAGGGGGGGTGTCGCAATCGTGCGCTGTGCTAGCACGGCAACGACGCTCCGACCAGTTGTCATAAAACAACAAGTGTGATACAATACGTTGTTTTGTCACACCTGTTGTTTTATCACACTTGTTCGGAGTGTTACATAACACTTGTTCCCAACCATCCTGTGGTGTTGGGTCCTCGTTTTGAAGAGACGGTCCCCACCTTCACTCCTCATCCTCAAGCTGCCCCCTCCCTCCCTCCTCTCATCATCATCATGATCATCATGATCATCATCATCATCATCATCATCATCATCATCATCATCATCATCAGCAGCAGCAGCAGCAGCATCAGCATCAGCATCAGCATCAGCATCAGCATCAGCATCAGCATCAGCATCAGCATCAGCATCCGCATCCGCATCAGCATCAGCATCAGCATCATCATCACCACCCGTTTCACCACACCCCTTACACGTTTCATGGCCCCATAGGGAGCTCCACCGAAGGTCCACATGCCAGCGTTTGGACGCGCACGCCGCATCAATTTCGGCACACTCCTCACACCTTCCGTGGCCCCACAGGGAGCTCCACCGAAGGCCCCCAGTGGCTGCGTTCGCATGCGCCCGCCGCACCAATTCTGGCGCACCACTCACGCGTTTCGTGGCCCTGTACGGAGCTCAAATGGCTGCGTCCGCACGCACATGCCGCGATCATGTTGGCACACCCCTCACACGTTTCGTGGCCCCGTAGGGAGCTCAACCAAAGGCCCCAGTGGCTGCGTTCGCATGGGGCCGCCGCACCCATGTCGGCACACCCTTCACGCGCTCCGTGGCCCCGTAGGGAGCTCCGCTGAAGGCCCCAGTGGCTGCGTTCGCATGCGCCCGCCGCGCCCATTTCGGCACACCCCTCACACGATCAGTGGCCCCATAGGGAGCTCCACCGAAGGCCCCAGTGGCTGCGTTCGCATGCGCCCGCCGCGCCTTTTTCGGCACAACGCTCACACGTTTCGTGGCCCCGTAGGGAGCTCCACCGAAGGTCCACATGCCAGCGTTTACACGCACACGCCGCATTAATTTCGGCACATCCTCACACGTTTCGTGGCCCCACAGGGAGCTCCACCGAAGGCCCCAGCGGCTGCGTTCGCATGAGGCCGCCGCACCCCTGTCGGCACACCCGTCACACGTTTCGTGGCCCCGTGGGGAGCTCCACCGAATGCCTTAGCGGCTGCGTTCGCATGCGCCCGCCGCACCCATATCGGCACGCCCCTCACACGTGTCGTGGCCCTGTATGGGAGCTCCACCGAAGGCCCCAGCGGCTGCGTTCGTATGCGCCCGCCGCCCCATGTCGGCACATCCTCACACGTTTCGTGTCCCCACAGGGAATTCCACCGAAGGCTCCAGTGGCTGCGTTCGCATGCGACCGCCGCAATCATTTTGGCACACCCCTCACACGCTTCGTGGCCTTGTAGGGGCTTCACTGAAGGCCCCAGTGGCTGCGTTCGCATGCGCCCGCCGCACCCATTCCAGCACACCCCACACACGTTTCGTGGCCCTGTATGGGAGCTCCAACGCAGGCCCCAGTGGCTGCGTTCGCATGCGCCCGCCGCACCCATTCCAGCACACCCCTCACACGTTTCGTGGCCCTGTATGGGAGCTCCAACGCAGGCCCCAGTGGCTGCGTTCGCATGCGACCGCCGCATTCATTTTGGCACACCCCTCACACGCTTCGTGGCCCTGTAGGGGGCTTCACTGAAGGCCCAAGTGGCTGCGTTCGCATGCGCCCGCCGCGCCGTTTTCGGCACACCCCTCACACGTAGGGAGCCCCACCGGAGGCCCCAGTGGCTGCGTTCGCATGCGCCCGCCGCACCCATTTCGGTACACCCCTCACACGTTTCGTGGCCCCACAGGGAGCTCCACCGAAGGCCCCAGTGGCTGCGTTTTCATGCGCCCGCCGCCCCGTTTTGGCACATCCTCGCCTGATTCGTGGCCCCACAGGGAGCTCCACCGAAGGCCCCAGTGGCTGCGTTCGCGCGCACATGCCGCGATCTTGTTGGCACCCCCCTCACACGCTTCGTGGCCCTGTAGGGGGCTCCACTGAAAACCCCAGTGGCTACGTTCGCATGCGCCCGCCGCACCCATTTCGGCACACCCCTCACACGTTTCGTGGCCCCACAGGGAACTCCACCGAAGGCCCCAGTGGCTGCGTTCGCATGAGGCCGCCTCAGCCATTTCGGCACACCCCTCACACGTTCCGTGGCCCCAAAGGGAACTCCCCCGAAGGTCCCATTGGCTGCGTCCGCGTGAGGATGTCGCACCCATGTCGGCACACCCCTCACA